GGTATCGGATAAAACCTAAACGATACCCATCCCTAGTAATGAGCCTGTGGGAAGAGCTGTGGGCTAGCTAGTTAGCATCAAATTAACTAAAATTGTAAAAGAAGAATGAAGAAATTTGAATATACTTTAACTGATTCAATTAAATCTTATTTATATAGCACCAAATCACAGTCACCTCAAGGCACTTAGTACTGTAAGATGCAGGGCGTGCAATGACAAGATGAAGCCATGTAGAAATAATAACAGTCACCTGTGTGTGGGAAACTATTTTCTCACACTCTGCTTTACTCACTTTAATCTTCTTGGCCTTCTGTGCTCCACGGGCCTTCTCTGTGCTCTTCTTCCTCTTTTTGGATTTGCTCCTTTTGACTCTGTTGACAGTGAGTTTGATGCTGGTTGGTGTGTGCTGGGTGGCAGTATAGGAGATGGTGGAGGGTGACACCTCTTCATCACCACTCTCTGTTGCGCTACTCTCTCCAGCTACAAAAAAAAGAGCAAATAAGCAGGTGTTGATAAACCGCCTTCTCTGAGATGAAAACTGTAGTTTTTGAAGTGAACTGTGATACCTGAGACATTTTCTGTTTTCTTCCTGTGTTGGCCTTTTACTCCTTTCCTTCTGTCCAGTCCCCTGTGATACAAAGGCAACAAAATAAATCAGACAAAAAACTTAAAGGGGGTGATGTCATAAAGGCTTTTACCGCATGTTGTATTATTGTCACAGCCTGAATTTTAATAAAAATAATTTTCTCTTATTTCCATTAAACAGGTTAAGTGCTACACACCTATGTTCCAGCATTGAGACAAGACGGGCTTTTACACGTCTCACCTGCAGTTGTCGCATTTGATGAGCAGGCCGTCCGGCGTCAGGTTGCAGTGACACCAGGAGGCCCCGTCCTCCTCTGAGGAGCTGTCGCTGTCGGCCGAGTTGTCCTCAGCAGTATCGTGATAGTGAGAGCTGCGTACCACGCCGTTGAGATCCATACGGGGAATGATGGTTTGAGAGAGCGGGGAGGCGGGTGGGGTTGGGGGAGGGGGCGCGCCATAGTTGTGATCCTGACAACACACAACGGAAGACTGTTGCATCTTCAAACAACGGGTGTTCAGGCAAAAAAGGGAAACGGAAAATGGAGACGAATGAAAATGAGGGCAAAAAAAAAACCAAGTATGTGAAACAGTTCAGTTGTTAATACCAGAAGTAGTGTGTGGTTACAAAAGACTAATAGCAGGACTCATATTTATACATCTAAACTAGAAACATCACCAGTTCTTAGCTTTACTCTTATTGTGAAATCATAACAGAAGACACTTGAAAAGATTAGGAAAAAGGAAAGATCAGATAGATTAAACTGGGTCATTTTAAGCCACTAAAACATTCACAATTGTACACAAGTAATCCCATTATGAAAAGTAATACTTCAATAAGACATGCTATGATTAGAGCTGATGATTAGGGAAGAGCTGTGTGAACTCACAGCATATGGTAGCCCCCGATACCCATGACTCTGTGCGCTCCCACAGCTGTGGTTGTTGTAGTTTTTCTCATTCACTGCAGGGCTTGCTTCAACTGACTCAGGGCTGGAAAAAATAACAACATATATATTTAAAACATTGTAAATGACACATAGATAATGCTGTAGACATTTCCCCACTTTGCCTTTTTTACCAATGTTACACAAGCATCTGTTTTAATAAAGATCAGTCACTAGATGGCACCAAGATGCTTCACTCGCTGCCCCGCCTGGAAGAACAGCAATTTAGGAAATGGAATGTGGGCCGCCATTATGTTATGCAACTCCCTCGCCCTTTAGTTAGGGTCTAACCAGACAGGGAACAACCTTTCCTACTCCTGCCTCGTACTCCAATACTGAAGCTAACATCAAGGTTAAAAACAATAATAATAATAATAATAATAATAATAATAAATAACCATGTGTGTGTAGTATGTCTGTCTTTTTTTTTTTTAACTCCCCTGCCTGAGCTTTGCAGGAAACTAAAGGGGGCCATGAACAGGGTTGGATGGGAAAGGGTCCAACTGCATTCCAAATAACCTCAGTCACGTAGGCAGATTTACCTTCAAAGAAGTGGCAACTGCGCTCACTTGATCTGTCTGTATACATTTTTTTCAGATGCTATTCAATAGTTTGGGCACGGAGAAGAACAACATGCATCTAGCTTCTTAATAAGAGGTGGAAGATAAGAACCTGTGACACAGGGAGAATAATTCAACTCTTCTTTTTGTCTGTGTAACAGACAGTGGTTGTTTCAAGTCAACTTAAAACCCTGAAAATTCATTTTAGAAGTCAGTTTTACAGTCATGTCAAAATGTCACATCTGGTATTTTTTTCAATGTCTATCAAATTACAGACTTCATGTAACATCACGTACTCTATTTTTACAGTTTTATGTTCAAAGTACAAAGCAGTCCCCTTAGAAATTATTTCAAAATAACACATTTGATTATGCATTGTGTAAGCGGTTCTTGAATTCATAGAGGGGACTGGGGGTGCAGCAGTGTTAGCATCATATTCATACTTTGTTAGAAACAAATAATCACATTTTCCAAACACAGGAAATGCCCTTCAAACAGAAAGAAAATGTTCTGCTTTATGATGACGACTGCCATTGCTTTCAGCATTTCTTTTGCCACTCAAGCTACTTGACTCTTTTCCCTTTGTCAGATCTTTGCAATCTTAAATTCCCCGTTCAACCACATCAATGCTTATGTTTAACAAATAATGAGCAGCTAGAGCATTAAATAGTGCCACATAAACATTAGTCTATCTTTTCCAGACATCTTTGGATGGCTGAAAACTTGTCTGACTCCTTGTTATGCAGTACAGTAGCAATACATGTAGATAATCAGGTTAAACAGGAAGTTTGTTTTCCTGGCACTCTTGTTCTATTTAAGCCATGTTACATCCGCATGTGAGTATGAGGAGGTTGGGAGACATTTTAATCAGTCGAGCTGATGATCTTAACAACAACACCCAGCTCTTACAGAACATTTCTTGCAAGTCACACCTTGCTGAAACTGACTACGTACTCTGATCCAGCAGCCATATCTGAATAAGACGTTTCAGGTGTGGTGACTCCCAGAGCGATTACTATGCTCATGACGTCCAGCACAGCGACGCGTGGGAGGGGGGGAAGAGGGGGGAGGAAGGGGAGGGGAAGGGGGGGGACAGGATGGGATAGGGGAAGGAGGAGAGGTGAAGCGAGGAATCACAGGGTCCCAATTACAGCAACAGACCACTCCAGAGGTGGGGTGCCGCCGAGCCGTAGCCCACGGCTCACGGTCATGGGGGACCTGAGAAGAATGGGTACAAGACAGACATGCCATCAGTTACATACAGATCCACTGCCTGAATACAGACAATCAACGAACGGCTCAAAATAATCAATGCATCTTGGAATGAACTGCATATTCAATCATAGACATGTTATCTTCTATAGACAGCTTTGTGTGTCTAATATCATAAAACAGGAAGTATTATTGTGATTTAACTGTAATATCAGGAATGGCACAGATATAAAACGGTTCCAGTAAGGCATCAAATGCCAACCTTTTTGCCCCATTTCCTGAAAATCTTGGACTCGAGAACAATTTACTCACATTTCAAATCCATTTCACGTTTTTGCAAACTGTCATCCAACAACTATTCATCCATACCTGTTGTCTGACATTTCAACTGCAGTATTTATCATTTACATTTAGTCAAATCCTTTAAAAATGAAAAGTCAGATGGTTTACTCTTTATGTTTAGATCATAATTAACTGCTATTTACAGCTAATAATTTTCGAATGTCTTACAAAACGTAACTGTTTGCTAAACATGGTATTTTTTCCTGTTATGTTTGGCTAACATTTCTGCTCATTTATCCTTATTGTTAGCTAGTTTCAACTTCTCGTGTAGGCCTTTAACAAAAAGCTTTCACTTGTTACCAGTACCAAGTAAGGTATTTTTGTATTTATTTGTGTATTTCTACAGGTTTTTCATGACACCTAGCCGTTAATTTATACTTCCTGTTCTTAGTTTTGTTTATTTAAGCGTTTCATTGGGGAGTGGACCGTCAGTTACTTCCCACGAAAGCAACCCCGACTCCCACCCACAAAGGTACTTGTACCCTTGGTTGAAAATCACTGCAGTAAACCAAAGGGAAAGTGTGTGCAATGCCAGGAACCTGGACACACCGCTAAATTGAATGCAGCTGTTAATCATTTTCATATTTAGTGTGGTTTTCCTGTTATGGAATCAGAGTGTCAGCATTGAAAAAGGGCTACAGACTTATGTTTAGTGAAACGCTGACTCTATACCTACTCAAACAACTTTCCTTGTCACAGCTGTTTGATTAAACAATGAATAAGTTACTGAGTTGCCTCCGACAATTTATTTGTTTCAACAGCTTTTCAAAGGTCAACATTTATGGTGAAGTCCATATTTCTGATTAGACACAAAAAGATGACCACTAACTGAATGTACATCCCCTAATGAAAGAGACAGGGCTTGTTTATAAGGGCTCTTTACCATATATAAACATTAATATATAAACAACTACCAGAGTTTACAACAGGTTACTGCCTTTACTGAAAACTGACAGTGCTGTCAGGCTGTCACGACCACGTAACCTAAACATTAAACAGGAAACCCACTGTTGCACAAATACCGAAGAACCAAATTTGCTGAGTCATCTTGACAATAAAGGCTTCATGTAGTCGAAGAGAGCATTTATCTACAATGACAACTCGATATGGACATTGTGTGATGGGCCCATCTCTTATCCATACGGAGGTGTTTAACATGGAGGGAGGTGAGACTATTCAAAGAGCAGAAAAAACAACCAGGGGATTTACAGCTCTGCTTACACTCCCATCAGGATGCAGTAATGGAGAAACCAATAGGAGGCGCTTTTTTGCTCAGACAGCTGTAGAGGTGAGTCATTCAAGATGAGGCCCATCCCTCTTGTCATGTGACCACACTTAGCTGAAACACTGACCCACACTGTATCTTGTTCTCCTGCTTGCGCTCGCTCAACGACCCTGACAGAAGCGGAGCTAAAGGCAAGATCTGCAGAAAGAGGAACAAGTCTTCCTGTGCGCTGTTCACACGACAACGAGAGGATTTGGCTCTCACCAAGGTCATCCCCTGGTCAAACAAGCACATAGATACATTCGCTTATAAAACCCCATAGTGATAAGATCCATTGCAACAAGAGTAAGCCCGACACTCAAACAGGCTGCTTTAATAGCAGGCATCCATGTTAATTAACAACAGGATGCATGACATTTCTAGAGTGGTCCCTTGGCTACAGCGAGTGCTGCCCTTGCGCCCCAGCCCCAAGGCAACTACAGAAAGATTGGGAGCTTCCAATAATGTCAAGGTCAGCTCACTGTCAAAAAGAATGTCAGCACCATAGAGCTGAAAATGCATGGGTGCCTATGCACATGGGTAGGTGACAAGAAGAAAACAGCTCCCGTGCATCTATCAGATAAGGACACAAGACACACACAAAAATATTTTGCTCATTCAGGAACTGCTCCTCTTTAAGCATGACTTACTGGATAAATGAAAACAAACAACAAGCACAGACAGACAACGACTTAACTGAAGTTTGCCACAGATTTAGATATTTAGAAGATGGCATGTAGTAGAGCACCTCATTCAGAGGCTCTTTAAGCTGCTGGGGATCCCTGTGGAAGATCACTGCCTCAGAAATAGACACCTTGGGCCTACCCAACTCAAAGTCTCACTACTTGGGATCCTTCCAAAAGAACCAGACGGGGTGCTAGGGAGGTAAATTCCATACGAAGAAGGAAATCCTTTCTTTACCTCGCTTCTCCTCCCTAACGCCACCCTCTCTCCCTTGTTCATTCCTCCAGCCATGAATACTGGGCTCAAATTACCAAAAGGCTCAAAGTCTTTTCACTTCAGTAGAACAGAGGCCATTTCGGAGACAAGTCCAAAGGGGAGGAACATGCACACAAAATGAACAGCTCATAAGGAGACACAAACGTCACTTAAATCTCTCTCATAATGCCAGACGAGTCTTTTTATATTGTACAAATACCTGGTTATAGTGACAAGCATGCATATATATTATTAAAATATGAAAAATTAACATCAGAAAAACAAATGAACTGCATCTGAATAGTGCATGACACAATGCGCCACACTATGAATGATGTACGCTGCTCACGCACTGCACTAAAAGATAAACTCTAAAATAACAAAACACAACATCATCCAGCTATTTTCTTATCTGAAGTGGGTCACAAGAGCACCAGCAAGGAATCCCAGACCTCCCTCTCGTCAGCTACCTCCACCAGCTTAACCGGGGAAATGCCAAGCCTTTCCCAGGCCAGCTCATAGACATACCGTATTTTCCACACTGTAAGGCGCACTTAACTTTAATTTTCTCCAAAATTGACAGTGCACCTTATAATCCAGTGCAGCTTATGTATGAATTCTGGTTGTGCTTACTGACCTCGAACCGATTTTATGGGGTACACGGCGCTCAGAAATCTGTCAAAAATGTTTTAGTATGACTTTGGTAAGCTATGAAGCTGCACCGCTTGATGGATTATCGGAGCATTACGGCTACCGTAGTCAGGCGCCTGGCGGAGTAATCCAGGTCCAAACTCCGTCCGCTTCAGGCCCCAAAGTCAAACGAACACTGCGGCATCACTGAGAGTTAAAAACTAAAATTTTTCACCTTTAATAAAATTATCAGTGTTGCTGCTTTACCAGGTGTAACAATTAAGTTTAACATCCAGACATCCATGAAAACAGAATTTATGAAATTAGAAGTCAGCAGGAAGTTAGCTCGCTAGTTTCCACCTAAACATGATATAGCATGTTCTGACTGAGAGATTTCTGAAAGATTCAAACGTACAGCTCTGCTATCACTTCCAACATAAATGAAGACAGAAAACTAAACAGCAGTGACGTTTGTAGGGTTACTGAAGTTGGGCTAACTGGTATATAATGCTGTGCTACGTGATCGCTAGCGACACAGCTATGTTAGCATAACATAAACACAGTGAAGCTGGAGGGATGAACGCTGACTTTTTTTCACTTGATAAAAGTTAACGTGAGGGTTCCTGATGCTGTAAAAGGACCAAACTTCAGGAGAACAACTGAGATAATCCATCCACAATACGAGGTTATTCATTAATATACTGCAACAACAAGGGATTGGAGCAGCTGCGAGAGATTTCAACATGAATGAATCAATGGTACGGAAGTTGAGGAAGCAAAAAGAATAAGCTGAGTAAAGTTTGATCTGATTTTGTTTCGCTTAATGCGCCTTATAATTCAGCGCGCCTTATGTATGAAAACAGACCCGTTCATCGACAGTGCGCCTTATGGTCCTAAAATACTGTAATATTTCCAGCACGTCCCAGATCTACGCCAGAGCCTCGTCCTGGTAGGACATGCCAGGCTGGAACAGCTTACCCTGGAGGCAACAGCCATCTTCTTTTCGATGTTGAGGAGTACCGGCTCTACTCTGAACCCCTCCCGCATGACTAAACTTGTCATCCTATTGCCAGGCCAGAGCTCATCCACCTTTCGGAGAAAGCTCATTTATACTACCGGTATCCGTGATCTCATTCTAATAGCGTTAATAATAAGATTAGACCTAGATTAACAGATGTTTGGCATTTCTCAAAGAGACGCCATCTGGTGGCAGATAGATGCATAACATTTAGGCCATTTAAATAAATATATATATATATATATATATATATATATATACACACACACACACACACACACACACACACACACACATACATATATATACATATACATACACATACAATCTAACATGGTGCTTCACAAATAACAGCAGAATGGCAAATTTAATCTTAGTCCAGATCCTTTCCTCTACTGCAGCACTATTAACCAAGTCTTTATGTAACCAAATTATAACGACCTTACACGGTGGACCATATTAATTTGGCAAATAAACAAACCAAAACAAAACATTGTTCTAAAGAAATGTACAGATTAAGTCAATAAAAACTACAGGAAGTCCAGACTTGGTTTCCCACATCAAACGAGTAACAAAAAACTATGGTGAATGTTCAAAAGTTTAGCATCATACCTGCTGCTGGTAAGCATTACACCAACATTTTCAATCCCAATACAGATAATGTGTCCTTGAGGAATACGGCTTTGTTTTAGATGGTGCAACTAGCCAACTTCACAAACTGCCCTTGGTAATCGATGCCAGAAATGCTACTCAGATACATTTTTATTCTCGTTTTTTCAATGTACAATGGCAGTGACCAGTTCAACGCCACCA